TTTGTGATATCAGCAAAATGTGTACTAAGAGTATTTGGTCATGGTCAAATAAGGAATAAAATGTCATGTTTTCACAAATACTTTAGTAGCGATAGCACATATACAAAAACTCTCGCACTCATATATATACACACACACACACACACACACACACACATGCACTTATCCGCATGTACGTATTTGCGCGCACGCGCTCATCCACATACAAGCATACACACACCCAGTCATGATTTCTGCCCTTAATCTGTAGGGAAATTGATGGAAAATAATTTTTTAATGTTAGGATCGATATTCGAATTAAAAACTCATGATCTGATGGGACACTTACTCGATATGAGTCGGTCCAACGATTAGCTTTATTATACATTTCGATGGCTTCTTTTCGCATGTTTGCTTCAATATACAGCATTTCCGCTCGCTGAAATCATAAATCATGACTCAGAGGTGCACTGCAGTGAAAGTAGGATTTTAGTAGGCTTTATCCCAAAGCAAATATGTAAAGTTTAGGTCTGACTGCAAAGATCTTTATGCATAACATATCCTTTGAAATCAGTTGTAGAGTTAGTTGTGCTGATTAGAGTAAACTACCGCTTCGATGCTGAAACATTTTGGACTGAATCCGTTTTTTGAGGATTATGAATCTAACTGCTTTGTAATTCCCTTTAATTTTGTGCACTGACAATCACGATCATTTTCAAGTTATTTTCTGACCCGATACTAAACCAAAACAAGCTTTAAACCAATTTTCAGTCGAACCAGCGGCCAGATTGCTTGCAAGCAGTTTCGAAAAAGGCAGCAGTCTAGTCCTGAAGGCAATATTGTTGGCGCTTACCTCCACTCGATTACTGTCAAGTACCTCCGTCTCTTCTGGGGAGATGGAATAGATTTTGATTTCTGACCGGACAAATAGATAAATGGAGCTGTTAGAATACTGTTACTTTCTTCAAAAAAAGCAAAATTTCATCCGCAAAGAAATGAAAAATTTTTCGTTTTTGCCTGGCGCTGCTTTGAGGAACTTACTGAATTCGAAACGATCATGCAGAATGTTACGTTCACAGTAGCATTCATTGAAAAATCCGAAAATTTCTTTTTTTCCACACCTCGTTTTACAAGGATTTACAGCAAAATTCGCACACAAATAACCAATTTTGTCCGGACTTCTGGCAAAGCAGAGCTCACTTCTAGATCGCCGACAGTTGCGTAATGGTCAGCAATTTTTCCATAATACTGCTTTGCCAGGCTGCTGTCCTCGAGTCCATCAACAATTTGCGCTGCTTTGTCCCACTGTTTGGCTTTGATGGAAGCATCAAGTGCTTTTGCCGTTTTTCCGCTTTCTGGAAAAAACCATAATTTGCAAATTTAGATTTATATCTTCAGATCAGCTGTTGTTCATATCTTGTTTCTCAAGCTAGCGATTTTTCCATTTGCTTTGACCCGTCATGAAGTAACTGAGCAGCTATAGTACATTTATTTATCCCTGAATCAATGTGCTTGGGTATTCGAATTAGCTCTAGGTTCCCCTCCTAAATTTTACATATTTAAGTGTTAAGTCCATAGTAGAAAACGAAAAAATGCCAGCTGCAACAGTGGCAAAAAGAAAAGCAGCAATGAAATAACAGCTG